AGTTTATCGTCCAAAATTCCACCGTATCTATGCGTTGCGAGAGTACGTTATCCGTCTCCTTTATAATCCCCGGTGTATTAACTAAACTATAAATGGTATCAGCTGACGTAAAACTTATTTCGATCTTTATATCAATGGTCGGATCATAGCCGAGTGATTTGTTCAATCAATGAATACTTCCCAAGAATAATGAATGGTATGGTACTCATTACAATGGAAGGTCTGATACCAATACTGAATGGCCCGATCAGTAATGAATGGTCAGATCAGTAATGAATAGTCCGATCAGTAATGAATGGTACGATCAGTAATGGATGGTCCGATTTAATGGATGGTCCAGTCACCATTAAATCAACCCCCATCAATAAAGCAACAATGAATGATGCGATCAACAATGCGTGGTCTTACAAACAATGAATGGTATGATAAACAATGAATGGTTTGATAAACAAAGAATGGTTTAATAAACAATGCGTGGTCTGAACAACAATGAATGGTATAATAAACAAGAATGGGCTGGCTACCAATGGTCGTGGAACGGTCAAACAATTCTACAACCTTCCAAGGCATATCTGATAAGAAATAGCCTACGATGAAGAAAAGACATACAAGTGTGCATGTAAACTACATAACGATATTGACCACATACATTCTAATATAACTTTCTAGACGCATGTTACTTACTAATTAACACTAATTTCACTCTGCATCTCACTATCAAAAACGTCAGTTACCATAGCAATCTCATAAATTCTGAAACGGAAAACGTTGTAGTACTTAACTTTACTTCGTTATTGCTACCATTTTTGCATTAAGTATTGGTGAAAGGTCTTCGTTTGAAGTCAATGATAGATGAAATTTTGAGGGCAAGTTTTATTCCCTTGATAAACTAGTGGAGTACCTCAGTAGTGAACTGAGGTTGAGAGAGAGTTATTTAGATCGACGGTGTTACTATGACGACGCCATATTACCCCATCAATAAACCAGATATAAACTAGTCATTATATTTTATCTCAGGTCTCCGCCGATATATGGTGCAAATACGATGGGGTAAAGGGTACATAAATCAGAACGCGCGACCTATCAGGTTTATGTTTTTCCAAATGCAACGCTTGCTTTCTATCAATCACATGTTTTGATCTGAATACTAGAAAGTTCGTTGAGACTAGACTGAAAATTATTGACACGAGAGTGCCAGGGTTAAAATGCATATTTAAGAAAAGGGTGTAGCTCAAGTCTATCAATGACAACAGATAATGCATTAACGTTTCGAGATATTCTGATTTATATGGAAAATTTGAATAAACTAACATCATCCAGGATGTTAAGGTTCAATGCTATACTATAAAGATTTGAATTCTTAAGTTGACTTCGTGTTTAGATGCCATTGATTGAATACCGTGCTAAACCAAACGTCCAAACCAAACGTAGTTACCAAATATGACAATAAATAAATTAATAAAGATAATCTCTGTTTGGATTTTCAAGCCATGACGTTAAAAATCAAACTGGTATAAAGCGACTATGAGATAATATATTCTTCGCAAATATGTGCATCGATGTCAAATTCGGTAGTCTTGCGTCGAGGTCTGGCCATAGTTTTAGAGATAGAATGGGGGGGGGGTTGCAGAAGCTCGATGTAAGACTGGCATGAATTTGATTTACGACCACTGAGAAAAACCAAAAACTATGAAATGAAACGTTCATTAAAACTCTAATACACGTTGTAGTTTCAACTCAATTTACTTGTATTAACTTTGCAAACAACGTCGTCCTATTTCAGCCTCCTAGTTCTATGTTTAACCAAGGCTTCTTTAAACCCAGCCAGGTAAATACAAAATCGTGCTTTTTGTCGAAAAATTGAGAACTTAATCGGTAGATTGTGTAAAGTGTATTTAACATTGGCAAAATTTCTTGCGATGGCCGTATTTGCCGAAAGTGTATAAACCGGAGAGACTAGTAGGATTTCTCGATATTCGCTCTTTCACTTTAATATCAGACACGAATTTATCGACTCTGGTTATCAAAGAAACCCCGGCTTAACATTTACATGCGATGGTTAAGAAACGTGATTTTTGAATGATTTTCTGTCTTAGTTTTCAAATTGCTCATGACTATGCATTTGTGTAGATATCTTTTTGCTTTTAATCACAGATTCACGACAAATTTAATCAATAATAGAATAAGTGATTGTGAATATCAAACCGGGCTCATGCCATCTCTAAAAAATAATTAGAGTTATCATAGTTTTTCCTGGGGTTTAAAGAAATTTCAGCCCTTTCATCTCTTCCAAATCTCCTTCAGCGAGGCTCGTGGTCTTAAAACAAACTGCGAAGAAAAACATATGGTAAAGCGTTCGGGTTTCGCCTCAAAGTCAGTCCGATGCTTTGTTTATTTACACACGGGAAATAGATAACTGTTTCACCGTGCAACAACACAGTACTCCCTCTAGTTTCTGGCCTATCATATCTCAAGATGTTTAAAGGAATCTGTTGCGGGCATATTATACCCATCTTCTCGCCAAGAAAGTGAAATGTATCTTAATGGTTGCCCTGGTTACTCACATCTGGAAGTAAACCTACAAGTTTCGAACATTGTCAGAAACTCCGAAAATACTCGAATCTAATCTGAACAGAGGAAAACAAATGAATTCAATGAAAATGAGCCTTGGTATTTACAAGTATTGAACATTAAATTTTTTTGATTTTCAATTTATTACTTGATGCTTTTCATTCCATCATTTTTCATTCCATCATTAAACTTAGTCTGTATTAGAAGATGAACACTGCGAGACACGCATATGTCATTAATGAGCACTCTTATACACACACGGATGCCCTACTGCAATGAAAACGTATGTATGTATAACTTCAATGATTCATTGACCACTGTAATTAAATAAATAATAGCACATTTCGTGGAAAAAACAGAATTCATCAGAATATCTTTCCATTTTGGACAACATCAATGCTGTGAATGTATATATTTACTTGTTAAATCTCTACATCAGGAACAAAAAAATGAACACAATTCTCGTGCAGTTGGAAGTTTTTGTCCATTAGTTTTGACTATAGGTGACATCTATAGATTATCAGATGAAATAAAAGTATCAAACGCATCAGACATATCGTCAATTCTGATTGGATTTTCCATTTATTTATAGATGGCGAGATGAAAACAAAACTGCAGCTCAAATATACAGCAAACTTCATGTTTATTTGAAAATTGTACTGCGTGTGAGAACAGAACACGATTAGTGAAGTGATTAGTGAAAATTATGATTCGCATACAATTTTTTGATTCATGACGATGCATGTTTTGCATCATTGTTTTTGACTAACACATCATTTTGTTAGACTTATTATATGTGTGGAGTGCATCGAGTTTTTATACAGAAAAAAATCCATAATAAAGTGGTGACATATTATTCTAGTCTCCAGCTTTTTTGTGGACAGTGTTGGCGTTTAGCGGTCGGCCTCGGCATTCGACGATCAGCGTCTGTAACAAATGGTAGGTGGTGACATTTTGCACGTTAAGATCATATACAGTAGTTACATGGAGTTTATTCAAATCAAATGAAAATATTTGATAAATCAAGAATTTAAGTAACTTTCTGCCAGTTGTCCCTATTTTATCAATATTATTCTGGCCCTACCAAACACACGTGCTACCAATCCATCGCTATATAGCAATGGTCTGGAATGCTGAAATTTGATCTAATGATCTACATAGATTCAAAGATTTTGTTATATAAACAAGCTGACAAAATGTCTGTTTTGGGACACACTAGGGGGAGGGCTACAAGGGCTTGTAGCTAGACTAAAGAACGGCCTATGATTGTTTTCACCATCAGAATACACCCCTCGATAATTATGCCAACCGGAAGTCCGAGTACAGTCTACATTTAGGATGTTCCCTGGAGTTATAAACATTTTTAAATAGTGTTTTACCTTTTCTCAAACACAGTTCTCTGAGATTCTTACGGGCAACAAAGGGCATTTAAACTTTGAAAACTATATGTTAGTGTGCTTTTTTCTAAAACAAAATAGGAGCAAGTGATCATCATTTTCTACTTTGTCCAAGGAACATCCTAAAGATTCTGTATGTGTGAATCATAATTTTGTCCAAAAGTTGATATTTTAAAACATGAACAAGCTTTTAAAAGTGGTCAAAATGGAAACTTCCGACAGCCAACCTTTCGAGGGGAGTGGATATGCAAGTCATCATGAAACGCAACATGTGCATGTGTGCACTATTTGCACCTCCTGCCTATAAACGAATAAATCGATCGCCGAAAACATGTTTGCATCCGGTAATTAAGCCCAGGAATCGTCTATACCTCATGTAATTACAAATGAACTTAGGATGTCCAAAGTAATTCAGGGCTGTCAGCGTTGTGAAGTTATGTGCCCAACAGCTCAGGCCCGTAGCCAGGGGGGGTTCGCAGGGTTCGGGCGAACCCCCCCCCCCCCCTGGCCAAAAATTCTTTCAAAATCATGCAGTTTTTGACCATTTTGAGCACTTCTCAAGTGATTTTAGCCTAATTTGGGCCAAAATTGTCAAATGTGAACCCCCCTGGAAATTTTGGAAAATTGAACCCCCCCTTAGCAAATCCTGGCTACGGGCATGCAGCTTGTCGGTTGTTACCGGATGACAACGTAAAGAACACAGCGTTGCCTAGAAATATTCAAACATATCATTCGCCCATATCATCATTGTATTCGTGACAGAGAATACAATCGTTTTAGTATCAATGGATCAATGTACAACATTTGTAAAAAATCCATTCGATGACGAGTCTAATAATGGCTTGATTGATTTTGCGAAGTAAACAAAAAGTTCTGATTATCAATTGAGTCAATTAATCCAATTATTTCTAAAACAAATCGAATTCCATTAACAAACCCTATCGATAAAGGATGTTTTACTTAACCTTGCTAAACCTCTTTCTTGTTTACCCCTTTCGTAATATGGAAAAATTAAATCGAGACTAAGAACGGCTAAGAACAAGTCTACCCAGTATAATAGGAAACACAAGCTCTTAATACCGCTACAGAGGATTGTAACTGGAAAATGAATAACGATAGTTTGATTCCTATTCCTACATATACGAGAGATGTCTCGATCTTGGCGTCAGTGCTATGGACACTGCTTTTCGTGATAGGGGCGATGATGAACGGACTGATGATAGTCGTGATTCTAAAGAATAGGAAACTGCAGACTGCGCCAAATTGGCTAGTTTTCTCAATGTCGGTCACGGATTTCGTCAGTTTGGTGTTCATACGGCCGATTGGGAGCATGGCGGTATATATGCATGGTTGGCACTTTGGTCTCCAGAGTTGTCGCGTCATAGCCTTCTTTAACTCATTTATTTTTTCGCTCATGCTTGCCAATCTTTGCTTCATGGCTATAAACAGATATGTGTTGATTGCACATACTGCGATTTATCCGAAGATATTCAGCAAAATAGGAACATTATTCGTAGTGACTCCGTTTATTTTATTCCTAACGATCAACCTACTTCTGCCGTTTATGGGTGTATGGGGCGAGTACGGGTACGTTGCAGAGGTAAACTCATGTGGTCTTGTGGTCGACACGCCATCGAGATCCTTATTCAGTATGTATGCAATGGCAGTGGGATTCGGCATTCCATTGGTGATCATGCTTTACTGTTATATCAGGATTTTTCTTCTCGTACGTGCACAGAAGAAGAAGATATCGAGCCATAACTCAAAAGTAGCAAGAGGTGAACAAAAACTGAACAACGCTGATGTAAAACTTGCTAAGGTTATGGCGTCCATATTCTGCCTGTATATCGTGTGTATTCTACCTCGTCTAAGTCTCAGTTGGATTGACAAACATAATCGTTGGCCCATGGCCCAGACACTGGCAGGGACAGCTTTGATAGCATATAGTGTACTAAATAACATAGTGTTCATTGCACAAAACCAACAGATTCGACTTGCGTGCTTCAAATTGCTGCATATAAAAATAAACCAAGTCACAATGGAGCAAAGTTCTGCGAGTGGCGGAGTAAGTCAGACTAAAACTATGACAGTAGTGGGACATATGTAAAAAATATTGTTCATGTGTTTGGCTAATATTGCTAAGTCTTACATATATGGAGAAATAAATACAATATGCATTAAGTATCGTTGTTTTGACACCGTTAAAGATAACCTCTAACGTCGAACTTCTTATATGTAACGCCGTCAAAATAATTCTGGACGATGGCTAAAACAACTTTAGCACCATCAAAAACAACATTCAACGCAGTCAAAAACGATTTCGACCGCCTTAAAGGAAAAAGTCACATTAGTCAGTTTGTGAGACAATGAATTTAACCATTGCTAACTTTTTCATCTAATTTTTTTTAATTTCCACCAGTTATTTATAACATTTACGCCATGTGTCCCCAAGAGTTTAGTAATATTATACAAAATTTTGACCATATGAATATTATGACTGATAAAGGACCATGCACCTTTTTTCTTTACAGAGGGTATTATGTTTTAAGAGGTATACAGGGTGAGATATACAGTATGCACTAGGTTTCTCTCCCGGACAATCAGTGATGTCCCATATACAATCGCCTAAATATAATATCTTACATTTTATATTTTAAATTTAATATACTATTTTGAACTTTTGAAATTCTGAACCACTTTCATGCATGAATGAGTTCATTGTCGCTCTTATTATACCATGTCACCACCAGAACATTTTTTGTGGACGGAATTTGGCGAACGACTTCCTTCGGCGTTCGGTAATCAGCTAAAGGATGGCATTCACATTATGTAATCTATAAAAGTTAATTTGGTTTTGAACAAATAATCAAATTTCAAAAAGTTGTGCATAAAAAGTCATATCATTAGGGGAGTAATTCATAATAAGATTACTTCACTATTAGTATGTCAACGGAATGGGTTAAAAGTTCATATCTTAGCCGTTTTTGAAGTTCCGTTTACGTAACAAAAGTGTTGACGATTATGTCATCCATCGACTGAACTATTTTGTGCGAAGTCACTTGGATTTCCAGAAACATGCTTACACGAGTACATGTTTGTGCAGAAGAAATTGGAATGGTTTATGATTGCCATCTCGAGAAATCCGGACCTGGTGTCCTAGGGTTTGTGGTCTTGACCGGACCATCTTTTCTGTATTGGTAAACAATATAACATATATAAATACATGGGATACAAATGGATTGTCCGGCTAGATTTTTGTCCTATCTGTTATCTTTATTTTCAAATGTATAGATGTCGTACTATAGTAGTACTGTAATATATACTTATTTGATATCTAATCAATTAATTAAAAAACACTGCTTTCATCCAATCACCGTTAGTATAGTGGTTAGAACCCCACTCTATCCTGTTTTTTTTCTTTACCATAATCACGGGCTTTCAAAAATGGAACTAAAATGCATTGGCATATTCGTTTCCTCGTTTTCATGAGATTATTCTTAATATTAATGCACGTAGGAGACTATAATTTCTAGTGAATTCTGTCCTTGAGACAACTTATTCTTAATTTTCTAGATGTACATGTCCAAGCGGACTATATTTTCTGCTTGCCTCTGTCCCCGAGACAACTTATCCTTAACGGACTAAAATATCTAAGGAAATATAGTCCATCGGCCTTGTTATTCTAGATAATATAGTCCCGGACAATATTTTCCAGTCTAAGGGACCATATATTTAGTACGGTCTATATAAACGTTGACACCGGATCCGTTTCGGTAACAGCGTAATCGGGTGCAGCACCGGTGATATAGAGTGCTATAATACATCCGTAAACTTACACTGCACACTGTACGCTCACATTAAACAGAAGTCACAATAAATAGATAATGTATAATATATTTGTACAACGACGATCCACAATAAATAAAAATATTGATTAATGACACATGCATAATATCTGATCCAGAGGATCTAGTTTTAATTCAAAAATAAATAAGTTGCGCTCATTTTATATTCAGTTTCCCTTTACATCTACAAATTGTAGTCGTAAATAGTGTGATACCTCAAGCTTAGTGTGTAAACATAAATTGACACTCACATTAAACATTACCCGTGAACATTACTCACTTCAAATTGATATTCAGGGTGGTCCAAAAAAGTGAACCCCTGCAACAGGCTATATTTTCCTTAATACATGCATGGATTGGCTCATATTATCACATCTTGTAGACAACGGTCTAAAATTTTTGTTGTTGCCATAATTTATTCTCAGTCTTGAATTTTAAAGAAATTACAAGACTTAAACAAACATGCCTTAAATTCATTCTGGTATGCCAGAGCCCCTCTTATCTGCCGTTTGCGAGAAAAGGATAAAGACAAAGAGGGCGCGGCTATCGCGGTGCCTACAATTAGATATTGTGCAAAACTTTACCAATGTGATTCACGGAAATTGTTGAACCACATTGGATATAAGTTTAAACCATACCAATTGACAAATGGGACTCTATTTGAGCAGAAAACACATTTTACATTTTCATTGACCATTTTGAAGGAGTTTTAACCTTTCAACAGTTAAGGGGCATTTTACCAACACAAACGGGGGCAAAGTTACTCCCTGTGATCCAAACTCTGAGAAGCCCTTCATATGAATATCTTACAAAAATCAAAAGGAAATATAATATTCAGTGTTTTGAGTTATATTTTACTAGAATTGGTCCATTATTAATGAAGATTAATCAACATTTTAAGACCATAGAGGGGTATGCTGCTATTTCACTGGAAGATGTTTTCATCTTTGGAAACTTACAACGTTTCTTTGGATCACTTTAACTTTGCAACTAAGGGAGGCAGGATGCTAATTTTAACGCCATAATGTTAAGATTCAAATCCAAACAAAGTCAGAAAACATTAGTTTTTCCAGACTGCGGCTAAAAAAAATTCGACGGGAAGATTGTTTAATGGTTGAAGAACCGCAAATGTTGAGTTCACATTTTTATTGATTTTCAGTGATGTTTGAGGGGTTGTGATTCCTGCGAATGTTAAGACTACGAAAAATGTGTGGTACCAACAAAAGTTTTAGACCTTCCTCTACAACATTATCGGTGCGTTGTCCCCATCCTTCAAGATCGGTCTTAACTTTTATGCAGCAGCCATGAAATAAGTGAAAAACCCTTGGACCAAGGATGCGTTGTTCCCACATTTATGTTTTGTAAATGCTGTTCCGCCAACCCGCGCCACATTTTAGTGTATTGTTCCCCGCGCATGCCATGTTACACTCCGAATCTGGTCGTAGTCCATATCTACCATACTCGTTGCCACACATGCATTGATGTGAAAACTGGTTTCCAGAGTACATATATCCTGAAAAACAATACGATTATTATTGAGATGAACTCGAGATAAGAGGGGTAGGCACAGAAGGAATAACAAAGATGCGAGTAGGTAGTTACCATTTTCACCACCAGGTGGCTAATTCGGGGTAGATAACATGGCAGTGTATATAGAAAGTTACCTGAAACTTGAATATTCATCAGTTTAAGTGGTTCAGCTTTCATATTACCCTTAAGTATCTGATGGTTATACAAATTGAAATATGTCCTGTAAAAGAAAATGATATCTGTCCAGTAATATAAAATATTATCTGTCCAATACAAGAAAATATGTTTCACTTTTTGTGATTTTATGAGGAATCTCCCCGACCTAGAAGTCACATTTTCAAAGAAAATCAAATATTTAAATTTGATAAACACTTTTTAAATTTCAAATATAATACCACTTTAACTGAATTTTGAAATATTTAATGACGTAAATCAAGATTATTTCTACTCGCATCTCGTCTATTAAATTTGTTACAAGAGGAGAAAAGAGGAGAAAAGTTCGTGTGGTGAGGGGTAATTCTTTTTGGGCACTAGTTAATCATTAACAACATTCCAGGGCAGTGCCAGTCTTCAATATATTAAAGCGGTGAGCCTATCAAAAATCTCAGATTCTCAAAATGGTTCATTCCTTTTATAAAGTGGACGATACTTACATGTACTATTCAATTATACAAAATATATTTATTCCATGATAAGGCAAAACAAATAATTTAGGGCTAAGTTATATTCATTGAAGTATATTATAAGAGACTAAATAAATAAAGTTAATTCATTTTGGTTCTAATTAAACTATACTTCTATAAAAATATTATATTTATAGTTTTCAAAATGGTGTCATACAAATTGATTTCCAAGCCGCTGTGATAGGCTTCTAAGTAAGGAACATGGTCAATAATTTCAATGTCATGGCAAGTTATTTACCCATTTGTTCTTGCAAATCAAAAACATGTTATATAAGATCGATTGCTATTTACCAGCTTGAGAACAGGAATCCATGCACAACTGTGGAGTATTGCCAATCCCACCGGATGCGAGATCTCTTATCGGCTGGTCTTCAAAACACCCGATGTATGTGCCACTCTTGCATATTGTCGACCCTGAAAATCACGCAATTGTTCTTTATTTTCAGTTAACATATTCCAACTCCATTATCCTCAGGACAGAGGTGTGTAACAAACTGATGTGAATTCTGTTCCAAGAAGTAAAGAAGCAAATGCCTGAGGAAACTCTATTTAAATTCCAATCAAGCAATAGGGTTTCCTTCATATTAGACAGGTTCCAATTCAAATAATTCAAGTTTTTGAGGCATTTTTTAGAAAAAGCAACAGACCTATTTTTACTAGATCAGTTTTTCATGCTGATAAAGATATTAAAAGATGACAGCTCAACGGGGTGGTCACGACACTAAATTTTGGCATTTTTACCCCCCTAGGAAATATTCTAGGGGGTACTATGAAACTAGTTCATAACTCAAAGGATATATGAGCTATTGTTCTGAGTTGTACACCATACATTGCTAGTACAAATATGAATACTATCCTAAAGTTATAGGTTGATACCCTTATTGGTCTCAGAAAAATACAAAAAACAGGAAAAAGATACATAATTTTTGTCTTGCCAATTTTATATTTGTAGCTTCAAGCACAATATGACAGCTTTAACAGCTCATAGTAGTATTCTAAAATCATTTCCAAGCTATGTGTGGTATTGTAATACATCTATTTTAGTTATGAAGTACTATTTTGTAATTTTAATATGACTTTATAGTGCCCTACCCCTGGAAAATTGAAGAAAGTGGATGTGGTGAATTTTATCATTTTGCAGCATTAAGTTAGAAACATGTATTGATAGACACCAAATCAATAAATTCATACCATCATCAAATGTTAGGTGACATTCTAATTCATTTATTACTAGAATATAGGACTTAAGATATTTTATATGTAAGTTTTCAATTTAGTACATGTATCATAATGAAATCTAGTGTAATCACAAACTAGAGAGGTTGGCATACAGTCTGGACATTGACATAAAGTCTAAACATTATAATCATCAATTGATCTCATTTGAGCAACTAGACTATGGTGGTCATCATGCACAAGTAATGTACAGTAGAACCTGCTAAGTGGAACAGCTCTGTAAGTGGAACACCTCCCAAGTGGAACGCCTTTTCAAAGTCCCGTTTTAAAAACCCATTGACTTAATGTTAATTGAACCTCTGTAAGTGAAACACCTCCAAACATGAACAGTGAACACCCCATATTGAAAAATTAACCTGCTAAGTGGAACAGTCAATATCCATAGATTTCAATATTGCTATAATATGTAAACAGAATTAATCTCCTTCAATGATATCTGGGTATGAAAACAGGTAATACTGTGATAATTGGCAAATTAGGACTTTAATGGATTTTAATGGATTAACCTCCTGTAGAGGTCAACATGTGATGCAACCAATAATTAATTTGATAATCAGCAAATTAGGATTTCATAAGATTATCATTCAGAAAATTGGATTAACCTCCTGTAGAACTGGACACGTGATGCTACCACTAATTAATATCCCTTGCTGTTTGTTTCAAACTTAATAAGTAAGATTAAAAATGTCATTTAAAAACAATTGAATTATTAGCAGTAGGAACAAGTCTTTAAAACTTAATTGCCTAATCTTTGTACCCGAGCCTAGCACAATTAGGAGGATTAAGAATGTCAGAAAACATTTTTGGCAGAATGAGGAGGATTAAGAATGTCAGATACCTTTTTGAGTAAAATAAATGGATTATTAATGGTATATACCTGCCCTGTAATGAAGGGAGAATCATATTTCCAATGATACATATAAATCCTATATTTGATCTTGTATGTTCTCTGCGAACCCAAAACCTCCATTAGTGGAACACCTTCTAAGTGAAACACTTTGTGGCAGGACGGAGAGTGTTCCACTTATACAGGTTCTACTGTATTTACATAATAATGTTATAAAGGAGCATGTAGGTTATCGCAAACAACTTCAGACAATTCTAACTTGAATTATGAATATTTTCTGACCATGAACATGGGTATATCTTTTAGATCTATTCATTATCTTCAAGAAAAGTAAATATAATGATTGAAACCAGACCTAAGTGATATTAAAGGGAATGGCCCCATCAACATACTTTTTACTAAAAAATTTGACCTAATTTTTACCAAAGATGCAACCTTTAATTATATTGTTGAATGCATAATTAGAATATGCTTTGAGACATGTTCTATTTCCTAAGAGGAAAAGTGGATTGCTCCAGCGACTTTAAAGACACTGAATTGTTAACATTGTTAAAATGATGGCATTTTTGGTGAAAATGAGGTCAACAACTTTGAAAAAATATATTGATGGGTTGATTGCTAGTGAAATATCTCTGAGTCCGATTGACTTTATTATCCCTGTATACCTGTCTTCATGGTCAGAAAATAGTCATAATCAAAGATATAGCTGTCTGAAATTGTTTGTGATTACTTACCTGAACCTTTCCAGGTCAAATCAGGAGTGACAAAATTATCTCCACCAAATTTTTGACATGTCTTCAAATACGATAATATTTTCTTCATAAGATAGAGTGTCACTTCTGAAATTTATTGATTGACCTGAGATCGTACCACATCTTTATGACATAGAAGCGAAATAGCCATATTGAACTTTAATGATGTTTGTTTAATTGTTGTTTGCCACTTTTCGACAATTGTCAAAATTTGGGGGTTTTGGGGGAGGGGTACAATTAGGTTAAAAAATTCACCTGATTCAGACTATCCTTAAATGAGCACTGATTCACCCGAGAGCATAACTTTTTCAAAACATGTAAGTGTTATTTTTGGACCACTCACATTAATGTTTCGTCTAATTTTCCCTCAGAGTTTCATCATCATTGTCCAAATCTTAGGCCATATTTGTTGAGATATATAAATGTTCATTATTAAAATCTTGCCTTCCTTTGCAGTTGGAAAAGATTCGGCATTAGGTGTTATAAGTCCCAGAGCACGATAAATAAATAAAAATAACATCAAAATGACATAGAACTGATAGACGTTTTCTCTTGTGCGTGTCAGCCATGGTCTACCAAATTGCTATTCAGTAGGAAGAAACTCATTTTCAGTTTCCATTTTAATTTCCTGACAAATAGAGCGATCATCTCAGGATTTTTTCTATGATCTATGTGTCGCCCTAGCAACTTCTGTTTTAGAGAACAATAGAACAATAGAAAAGATTACTTTACCATAATTTTAATCATCCCACATTGTAGACATATTTAGAATTAAAAATATGAAGAGAATGACAAAACCTCTTAAAACACATTTCTTAGGAAACAAATAGTGTCGTATTCTTGTTACTATGGCAACAGAGTTTTTTCTTTTTGTCATTTTTGTCATACAGATTACCTATCATACCAGGACCAAATCCTGAAAATTTGAATTCAGTATCTTCATTAGTATCTTAGATATATAGGTTTCTTATAGTATCCCCTGCAGATTCTATCGGAGTATAAGGAAAATGCTCTGAAGAGGGTTGCCCAAGGATGCCACTTAACAGTATTTTTGAGGTCCCAACCCTCTATTCATGGGAATAGTTAACCATTGTAAAGCTTCTCATGGTTAACTGACAGAATTGATTGTATCTTCAACTAAGAAGACAATAAAATGTTATAAAACCAGAAGAAAACCAAACCAACTTTCTTCTATTTACCATGGGTAGGGCACTATAAAGTCATATTAAAATTACAAAATAGTACTTCATCACTATAATAGATGTATTACAATATCACACATAGCTTGGGAATGTTGTTAGAATACTACTTTGAGCTGTTTTAGTTATCATATTTTGCTTGAAGCTACAAATATAAAATAAGCAAGAAAAAAATGACAAAAATTGAATATTTTTTTCTAATTAATTGTATATTTCCGAATCAACAAAGATATCAACCTATAACTTTAGGGTAGTATTCATCTCTGTACTAACAATGTATGCTGTAGAACTCAGAACAATAGTTAATATATCCTTTGAGTTATGAACTAGTTTCATAGTACCCCCTAGAATATTTTCCTAGGGGGGTAAAAACGCTAAAATTCAGTGTCGTGACCACCCCGTTGAGCTGTCATCTTTTAATATCTTTATCAGCATGAAAAACTGATCCAGAAGAAATAGGTCTGTTGCTTTTTCTAAAAAATGCCTCAAAAACCCTTTCCCTTGAGATATTCTGAAATTGGAACCTGTCTATATTGCTCGAATTACTAGAGTATAGTAGTCAATTTTTTACTGACGTTTTATGATGTGACAAATGTTATTTAAGGCATAAATGCCTAGATAAACTGAATCTGAATCTGTCTTATCAAAAAAAATTCAAAAACACATTCTAATAAATTTTCCCTCGGGGTAAAGGCAATAACATACATGAAGTTAAATTGTTCGTTACGTTTTGAGGAATACGCCATTTTTAAAAGTTTTTAATCCAATAAAACTTATTGAAAAATGTCAGTTAATCATGATAATGAGAGTCCGATTAATTACAACCATTTTGGGATATTTGAGGTAGTATCCTTAAGATTCAGAGGTCTTTTCTCAGTTCAAAATTAGGGGTAGGGGTAACACATATTACAATAAACTGGAAATTGTAAGATAAATATAACCCTTAATCTTTCCCAACGACCTATAAATATGTTATACATCCTATACTTTGCTTATGCGTACTATAATTTATGTCAGATGTAATATGTAAATGTGTTTATTGAGCAAAATGGTTATATCCTATCCCTAATTTCACTGCTATATGAGGCGTAAAATTGTCTAAAAATCATGATTTTGGCGGGTATTGGCACTTCCATAATTTTCTGTCAGTGTTTCAATGTTTATTTTAAACCTGTCAGTCATGACCAGTTTGGGTCGGGCTTGCTAACTTTTTAAAATTTTCATCTATTTTTTTTTTAAATTTCCACCAGTTATTCACAATATTTACTCAATGTGCCTCCAAGAGTTTAGTAAGATTTTGAAAATGTTTTGAATGATAAAGGACCATGCACCTTTCTTCTTTATAAAAGGTATTTTTGCATGTAGCAATGGTATTGTAATAGCATTTGCAAATGTTTTCTTTCATTATTCAAGAACGTTTCAAAATTATGCAATCCCTCGTGTCACTTTGACCAATGTACTACATTACTTTACCTTTATCATTATCATATCATAAAAATACCAATAATACGAAACATGGTAATTAAGAAAATGCAAAATTTACCAGTGACCGATGCTGCGACTGTTGTGCTTGGATGCGTAACGTTTTCGGCGATCATATCACACATCCGGTGGAGCTTGCATATTTGCGAACTGCTGTCAAAGACAACAAGCTCACATGATTGGCGTGACATTTGACAAAGGAGAATACACTTCACCAATGTTGGCACTGACTGATATATGTGTATTGCAATCCCATATAATTCATGTCCGTTTATATCTCTCATTTCGTAAAATGAAGCCATTGTTTTAGATCCAGTAAAAAATCCTGATAAAGAGATTATGTACAATGCCGTTACGTGTCCTCTCATTTTATCCCTTTGGGTTCAAACTGAATGCAATTGACAACAAAACATTATAACGATGGTATCGATGCTGATTTTGGATATCGAGTGATACAAACGAAGTTCAATGTCTTACCCACTTTCGTTTCCTAAATCAATTTTTATACCCTATATATATTTATGTTATTGTTGTCATAGTGAGAGAACAATTAACCTTGCTTGCGCCAAAACCTTTATTACTTTTAACGTTTCTAGTCACTTTTAATGGGATAATAATAAAATTCATTTTAATTTATTTTAAGTAAGATTTTTAGGTGTTTCTTTACTTTTCTTAGCTTTTGAATTGAGGTATATTTGATATTGATATATATTTGATATATTAATGTCCTCACACACCTTTATAAGAAATCAATATCTAATCCATATATTGATGTCATTGATGTCACAGTAAACTGAAGCCCATGGATACGTTTATAAACCACTTCTTATTACAAACAATAAACACAATATACTTCCGGCTTATAGGCCGAATTATGCCTGTCATTAACAGGGGTCAAAATATGCCAGTTAAAATGTTTTTGCCAGTAATTAAATATCGCTCAGTTGCTTATAAAAATACTAAACTTTTGAGAAAAATAGTTTTGGCCTTCACTACTATCCTCAGAAAATGATAAATGATGAATAGTAGCAGTAATCACTGGGTTTTTTTCTACACATTCTTGGAGCAAGACTACTCCCCTAATAGTTTATGTTAAACAAACCGAAAAGATCCACTGAAGGTATTGACTTCTTTCAGATGATGTCATGAATTTCAACTTATTCTAATAAGTTTGGTTTAAAGATAACAAAATAAACCACGCCTGCTTAACCTTATATAGAGTTGGGCGTGACTTGTTTGACATGTTGTGGTTGCACACGGTTGCTCACGTATTACTAGAGTTATGTTTGTAATGTTCTTTCTTCTTTCAAATGCAACCGAGCTGAATACACGGCTGGAGGACTCCGCGCATGTTCTCAACTCTAACTGTTCCACGACTAGTTACTTTGACGGAACGTCAATGTAACAAAATGGATGGACTCTCTGGATACGAGTTTTTTGTTTTCAATAATAAGTGTGCCATCATTAAGCAATTTTCATAAAGGTCAAACCATTTGTTTCACTTATGATTTGAAGACAAAGATGTATTGATGAGAATGAAAACTACTCTATGTAACTAGAAGTAACTTTCTTTTAAAGGACAACGGATGGTATCGCAACAGATTTCAGACAGTCATATGTTGGATTTTGGCTAATTTCTAAGGATTTGAACACCGTGCATTTGTTAGGCCAATGCATTAACTCCAGGACAAGCAGTGATAGAGATGATAAAATAAATTGGACTTTGAGACAGAGAAGGTGCAAATACCCCATCAACATGTTTTTTGTAATTTTGTCCTGATTTCCAGCCCTTTCCACACCTGTTTTTTAATATTTGCGTTTTGAGACACGGTTAATATCTTTAAAGGGAAATATGATTCATGTAGGGGTTTTAAAGATATCAATTTTGGGTGCCCCAAATTAAGCTGAAAACAATGGATCACATTAGTTTTCCCAAATAAATCATATTTTCGTTTAAAGAGGTCAACTGTGTTTCAAAATGCAACATATTGATGAACAAGAAAACGATCACAGAGCTTAATAGTCGTATAACAGAGATGACAATGGATTTGAAAAGAGCGAAAATTGCATACGATACCTTATCGGACAAAGTTCTTGATCAAGACACATACTCTAGGAGAGACAGCATCCACTTTTACAATATAGAGGAATCAGAAGATGAAGATTGTGAATTAAAAGTGAGGAAGATGATTAATGAACAACTCAAAATAGATGCGAAAGATATAAAATTCGAAAGAGTCCATCGTCTGGGAAAAAGAAACCAAAATGATAGATCAGCAAATAAAAGCAGACCAATCACAGCAAAATTCCATTGGTTCAGAGATAAAAAGCTGGTATGGGACGCTCGACGAAACTGCAAAGACTCCCCATACAGAATGGATGAAAGCTTTTGTAAAGAGATTAACATGAGGAGAAAGGCACTCTACCCGTATATGAAAGAAGCGCGGAATCAGGGAAAACGAGCATTTATGATAGCAGACACACTACATTTGGACAATAGAACATACAAGAGCACAGATGTATCCAGAATACCAATACCTTGAAGAAAGACTAATATTTTTCGATGGAGGGAGCCCACAGAGACTTTAATGGAAAATAGTTCATCAATTATTTATTGAAGGACTATTGTTAAGAATACAATGAATGTGTATGTGAGAATGGATTGTCTGAATTTGATAGGAGTGAATGAATATTTAGCAATGTTGTACAAATATGTTATTTGGATGATACAATACTGTTGTAAACTAATCATATGCCTAAAAGTATATATTGGATATAAATTATTTAATACTACATATTTTTATAGCTTAAACCACAAAATGAACAGGCGCTAGATCGATGATGAATTTTAAAATGCTATCTTTTAATGTTAGGGGCTTGGTGAATCAAAATAAACGGGATACGGTTATGAATTGGGTAAAGAGTAAAAACAAAGACATTACCTTTTTACAAGAAACCCACAGTACACACGAAATTGAAAATACATATAATAATAACTGGAAAGGTGATATATATTTTTCACATGGGTCCTCTAAAAGTAGAGGAGTAATGATATTAATAAAAGACTCTCTTGATATTAAGGTCAAACGACACATTTCTGATAAAAACGGGCGGTTTCTTATTTTAGACACTGAGATTCAAAATGAACGCTTTATTTTAATAAATGTTTATGGGCCAACCATCGAACAAGAAAAACTTCCATTTTGGACTGAATTCGCGCGTAAGATAGAAGATTTCACAAACGATGACACCTATTTAATAATAGGCGGCGATTTCAATATCATATTCAGTGCAGATCTTGATAGAAGTGGTGGAAATCATAAAGTTAGGCTAATAAACAGATTATCAATTTTTTTGACACATTCATGCTTAATTTAGACTTGGTTGATTTATGGCGTCTTAGAAACCCCAACAGAAAAAGATACACTTGGCGTCAGAAAAATCCTACAATAATGAGTAGGTTAGATTTGTGGCTGTGTTCAGATAACCTCCAACATAATGTTGAGAAGATTGATATAGATACAGGTATTAAGTCGGATCATTCTCCTATAGTCATTTATTTTAATAATATAAATACAAAACCAGGCCCAAACCACTGGCGGTATAATAATAGCCTTTCAAATGACATTGATTTTAAACATGAACTTGGGCAAAATATTCCCAAATGGTTAAATGAAGTTACAGAAATTGAAGATCAAAGAGTTGTCTGGGATTTTATTAAATACAAAATACGACACTTTACCATTGCTTATTCAAAGAAGAGGGCAAAGGCTAGAAAGAAAAACAAATGTGACCTAGAAAACAAACTTAATACGCTACAGAGCAATTTAGATAAAAATCCAAATGACATAGAAATTAAAAATGCATACTACAAATGCCAATTAGAGCTTGAGACTCATTTTGACTATGTAACACAAGGTGAGAGAATTCGATCAAGATCTCAAGATTTTGTTGAAGGGGAGAAAGGCTCAAAATATTTTCTTCAACTAGAGAAACAAAATGCTGCAAAAAGTAACATAACACAATTAAAAAATGCAAATGGAGTAATATCTAAAGATTTTGAAATAATTCAAAATAAAATCAAAGAATTTTATAAACAGCTTTATTCAAAATCAAAAGCAAATGTATATAATAAAAATGCAGATGTATTCTTAGAAAATAATAATATTCCTAAGCTAACCGAGGAGGAAAAATTGTCTATGGAATGTCAAATCACAGAGCAAGAATGTTATAAAATTCTTCAAACTTTTAAAAATAATAAGTCCCCCGGAAGTGATGGTCTTACTATTGAATTTTATTCTACATTTTGGGAAAAAATAAAAACAACTTTTATGAATTCTATAGGTTTCACATTTAATAAAAAGGAAATGTCAGTTTCTCAGAGAGAAATCATTATGAAACTCATTCCGAAAAAAGGAAGAGATGTCATGTTTTTAAAAAACCAACGTCCGATTTCATTAATAAATGTGGATGCAAAAATAATTTCCAAAGTTATGTGCAAGCGCATTAAATCTGTATTAGGCAAATTAATTAAATCAGATCAAGCAGCATTCATAAAAGAAAGAAAAATGGCTGAAATTATAAGATTAATAGATGACATGATGTTTTATACAGAAGATGAGAATATAGGGGGCGCTTTTGTAGCTGTTGACTTTCTCAAGGCATTTGATTCTCTAAGCCACGATGTTTTAATAAAAGCTTTAGAAAAACTAAATTTCGGAGAATATGTTATTTCATGGGTTAAAATATTGTCTTGTAATATAACTGCCCAAGTTATGAATTTGGGGTTCTGCGGGGAAAAATTTAAAATAGAAAAGGGAATTAAACAAGGTGATCCATTATCACCAGTACTCTTCATCATTGCAGTAGAGTTTCTAGCCCAAAATATAAGAGATGATGCATTAATAAAAGGAATTCAAATTGGTAATAAAGAAATAAAACTGAGCATATATGCAGATGATATGACGTTGTTTGTTCGGGATAAAAACTCTATACTGCAGTCAATGAAAGTACTTGATAGCTTTGAAAAATGTAGTGGCCTTAAAACAAACTTAGACAAAACTGAGCTCTTTACAATAGGAAGATTTAAAGATCAAATTTGGGACATTGAACACTTGAAACAAGTTCAAGAAATTAAAATTCTTAGAGTGTATTTTAATTATGATAGAAAGCTCAAAGCAGAGAAAAATTTTAGGTCGACAACTAATCACCTTAAGCAGGTATTGAGCCTATGGCAAAGTAGAAATTTGACAATTTTAAGTAAAATACAGATCGTAAAAACTTTTGGGCTGTCAAAAATTAGCTTTATAAGTTCAGTTATTGAAACAGATGATTGTTATGTAAAGGAAATAAACGGAATTGTTTTTAAATTTATTTGGAATGGAAATGACAAGATTAAAAGAAAAGCTCTTATTTCAACAATTAAAAAAGGAGGACTCAATATGAGCGACCTCAAAACCAAAATTCAAACCTCTCAATTAAGATGGGCCCAAAAGCTTTTAAAGGATACTAAAAAGGAATCACAATGGACAATTATTCCAAATCATTATCTCCATAAATATGGCGGGCTTTTACTTTTGCTAAACTGCAATTTTGACATAAATAAGCTAAATGCAATTAGCCCAAGATTTTATCATAATATTTTAAAGGCATATACGCTTATAAGGAGACCAAAGAAAAATGCATTGGATGAAATGATTTGGAATAATGAGAACATTGTCATCAGAAATAAATCAATATTTTGGAAGGAATTTTATGATAAAGGTTTTCTAAGAATCAAAGATGTTATGCTTAATGGTATGGTTAAATCATGGAATCAGGTCAAAATGCAAACTGGACTTTCACACAATTATATGCTAAAATGGTTTGGCCTCATTCAGGCAATACCATCAGATTGGTTAAGAGTACCGAATGGAAATATGAATGACCAGGTATCTCTAGATAATATAACAGTAATAAAAAGCGATACAGAAGTCAACTTTTTAAAATGTACATCTAGAGAATTTTATAAAATATTGCTGGAAGCTATTGCAGAATATCCAACAGCAAAACACACTTTATCAGATAAATATCATATTAAAGAAGAAAATTGGTCATTTTACTATGAACACTTTTATAAAACCCTGACATATTCAAAACATAAGGCATTTCAATATAAGCTCTTAAACAATATTTTGTATACAAATAGTGAACTTTTTCAATACAAAATAACTCCTTCACCAATGTGTGAGTTTTGCCATGTGAACATATAAACTTGTGACCACATCTTCTTTAATTGTGATTATACGAAACAGTTTTGGAAATCATTAATAGATAATACATTAAAAGATCTCGAAATTTTTTCTCTGCTTACAGTATTATTTGGTAGCCCAAAATGGAGTGATTTTGAAAATATGGTAAATATTATAGGAAAGTACTACTTATATAATAAGAAAATGCAACAAGAGCCTCCAAATTATTACAACTTTAAGGCATATTTAGATTATTGTTTAAAAATGAAAATGGATTTTAACAGTATGATGGTATGAGTGGAGAATGTGAATGAATGGGTAATGGAGTGACTTGTATAATTTTTCACTTATATGTATACATTTTAAATTTGATGAATAAAAAAACAAACAAAAAAAACAACATATTGATGCATCAAACATTGAAAAAACATGTGAGGAAAGGGCTGAAAATCAGGACAATGTTACAGAAAAACGTTTTAGGGTGTTTGCACTCCAAATTATTTTATCTCCTCTATGCGTGCTTGATCTGGAGTTAATGCATTGGCCTAACGTATGCACCTGTTCAAATTCCAAATAAATAGCCGAAATCCAACATATGCCAGTTTGAAATCTGTTGCGATACCTTCCGTGGTCCTTTCTCTGATTAGTATTAAGACCAATTAAATAAACACCTTTTGCTATATTTGCATATCTAGTGATGCTTGTATTAATACATATGCTGTATGAATACATTATACTCAAATATTTAATATGATTTATCCCACATACCCCCAAACACGCGTAGCGATAGTGACCATATTTTTCATCAAATTTGAGAAGATTCAATGACATTTGGTATTCTTATTCGAGACTGTATTTAACACCTCCCTTTGAATGAAACTTTTTGATCGACCTGGAATGTGGAACCAATTAGACAGACTTCTTTTCCATGTTTTTCCAAAACGGTAATAGTCAGAGCACTGGGGAATTTTAGGGTATAATTTCTACAGTTTTTTTTAAACATATAGACGTGTCGCAAAAAGGTGGCGCATTTGTTTTTTAAGGGTATCGCGTGAATGTAACTTTGATTCCCCGGATTATAAGATTATGAGTTTTTTACAAAAACATCTGGCAAATATCCCATGTTGACACGTTACATTTTGAATTATTTTTCGTCTTTAAACGCTCATAACTGAAACAATATATGACTATTATACTTATTTTTCGTCTTGATAAAGGTAGATGGAAGTTTTATTTCAAAGGATGAATTTTAGTAAGCGTCCCATATTGTGACGTCATAGAGTCTGAAAAATAGAATCTGTTGACAGCGACCTTTTTTGCTCATTTTTTGGTACCTTCAACTTTTCAGGTGTACATTAAACAAAAAATACGAGATCAATTCTTAATAAATCATACATGATTATTTTGCTCCTAAACTCTAGTTTATTAATAAATAGTTGATTTTGGTCACAAAAGTATGTGTTTTCTGTTGTATGTGGAAAAGTGGAGGACGAAAGGTTTTCAAAATTCATTAAAATAGGGCTAATTTACGCCATTCGCCTATTTTCAAGCACGGCAACACGTATATTTATTTCACCTAAAATTTCAATTGATTCGTGTTTTATGATGCTCCTAGCCCATTAACTATTATATATGATATCAGAGTTATTCGTCTAAAATGTTTTGAGATATAGAGGTAAATGTGGAGGACGAAAGGATTTTCATGTGTGTACATTTTTCTCAAAAACGTCACATTCTATCATGTTAAAAGCGAGGATCCTCTGGATTACGCCACAAAATGTGTAACAATGCGTGCGCGAGCTTTTTGCGACACGTCATAATATTTAACCTACTGGTGCCATGATATACCATATACTATATATTTTCTCTTATACCGTATACCATATTTTTTACACCTCTTCTACCAGGTACGATAATTTTCACCCCCTATTATACAATATACAATAAATTTTTACCCTTTTAATACGATATACAATATATGCACCCCCATCCACGTGCAGAAAAAATGATGATGCAAGTTTACCCAATCACCGGATTATACCAGACTTAAGATCAGTTAATGGAACCGTGCTTACCTTTTGTTATTCATAACTATTTTTAGAACAAGAGAACAATTCGATAGGTTCTCGTTTCAGAAGAGACAATGAAAGTTCATTTCATTAAGTGTTTTCACTTTAATTGCAGAATCATTCGATCGGGTGATGTATAGCCTAGAAATGAAAGAAATCATTCGTCAAAACAAATATAGAACCTGCCAACGAGAGCGTTGTATTGAAATACACCACAAAATACATTTAATATTTGGACACTCAGAACTACCGTTAAGTTGCTATAGTCGGTTGATGGCAGACGTCTACCTGAAGTCTTATACCTGTGGACTTAATGTGGGTTCTATATACGCGTGGATACGTAGGGCCTACACACATGTATACAAGTATCATTGTAGTTTTATATCGTCGTAAAAAATAATTCAGGACTAAATTGAAGCAGTAGAGCATCAATTTCCACTACACCGTTGTCGTTGTTACGTAATCATGGTAGATCGAAGGAGTGGATATAACTTTTATATTTGTATATTGGCATAGATACGTGGACTTTTTCCCTAGAAAGTATTAACTTTGGACGACATCGTTCTTCACTTTGCCAACGCCGTGTCTCCATTTGCCGAAACGTACACGTGAGTGTACTGGGAGGTTTGTCCACGCCTTCGCAGATTATCACACGGAGAAATCATTTCCACCCGGGATTTATTTTAGCACCGATATGAACATAACTGGTTACGATGAGAGTAGGTCGAGGTTCGTCCCCCTTCCTTCATATACGAGAGATATCAGTATATTTGCAGCAGTGTTGGTCGCTCTAGTATGTGTATTTGGTATTGCAGTAAATGGATTCATAATGCTTGTCATTGCTAAGACAAAGAAACTGCATACAGTTCCAAACTGGCTTATATTCATGATGTGTGCAACTGACGTCATTCAGTTCTCCGTGGTAAAACCGGCTCAGCAGGTAGTTACAGAAGTCCTTCATGGATGGCCGTTTGATTACCAAAGCTGTTCTGTGTTTGGTTTCTTAGCCATTCTGTTCATTGCTCTGAATCTCTTCAATCTTTGCTACATGGCTATCAATCGGTATGTTTTGATTGTCCATCAGTCAGCTTATCAAACCATATTCAGCAAGAAAGGCACAATTGCACTCGTTGTTTCTTCAACGGCGTTCGTGTTCATCGCTCTTTTGGTGCCTTTCACTGGCCTGTGGGGAAAGTATGGTTACGTAGAAAAAACGAACGCATGTAGCATGATCGTCGATTCACCGAACAGCTCAAGCTTCAGTTTAGGTGTCTCTGTAATCGGATTCGTGTTACCATTGTTGGTAATGCTTTATTGTTATGTACGTATTCTTATCTTTGTTAAATTGCAACAGAAGAAGATCAATGGACACAACAATGGGACGAAGACAACGACGATGGCAGTCAAGAAAGCGGATGTTAAATTAGCCAAAGTGATGGCATCGATATTCCTGCTCTACGTAGCATGTATTCTCCCAAGGATGGCCCTAAACTGGATAGATCCAAACAACCAGTATCCCATGGCTCATAAAATAGCCACAGCTATTCTTTTGTCTTACAGTCTGCTTAATGGAATTGTTTTTACGCTTCAGAATACGCAGTTTAAAAAATCCTGTCTTACATTTGTCGGTATTGATCCATCACAAGTCCAGTTGGTAGAGGAGCCTCAATCAGATCATGAAAGACAAATTACTACAGTTTCCCATACTTAGACTCACGAAAATTGTTTTAGTTGCAAGAAAATCGATCTGTTTTTTATTGGACAGCACCTTTCCTTTCAACCGAGGTTAGGCCATTGATGCCATGCTGCCGAATGTCGTCCATACAACTGCGTTTGGTCTTAAACACCAGCTAATTTTCGAATATAACACATCTTTGTGATGTTTTAATCGATGTTAGCATATTCCATACATCTTCATTTATCTTGATGTAAAATAACAAAGCTATTATAGTGTTTAACACGCCAGAAATGAACATAATATTATTCGAAGCGTATTTCGATTTTTTAGGCCACCATTTTGTTTGTCGATTTTGACCAACCAGAGCAGTCTCCTAGCGTTCGTTCAGTGCAATCCGTGCCTCCTGTGCGTACCTCATGCAGTTCTTTAAATTCCCGCGAAATTTACCCTTCTAAAAATTTGACCTACTTCAAGAAAATATATTTCTTCGCGCTTGCTAGTGATTTTATTCACTATATTTTATAAAATGTTTATTTCTAATGTAGTTACACGTCGCACGAAACTGGGGACAATTAGCGTAACATTATGGCGTCAAAAACCAAGACAAAACAATGAGCAGCATAGGGCGCAAACAGCCTTACAACGTCAAAAACGACAAGCGTCACATGTTTGTCAAGTTTAGTCAACCTAAAAATAAAATACTTTTATCCTTATCTAATCATGACAAAATTCACAGGGTAGCAAGATCTCGACGACAATATTTCTAAAATGTTTTTGAATTTTGAAAAACGGTCAAGAAAGCCACTTGGGGCGTTGGTAAAAATTGATATGTATGGAATTTGTGGTAAAAAATCGATGCGTCACATTTTTTCAAGTCTCGAAAACCAGCTCTTGTTTTAATATTATTTGCAAAATAAACAAACTGGTTATTGTTTTGTAAATTTCGTCATGACAATATTGTGCAGTTAATTTTTCTTTCAAATCAGACTTAAATTAGAAAGTTAAATGAAGGTAAACTTATTGCTCGTCCCATTCGCCTTCAAAACCTTACACAATTTTGAAAATTTTAAAAGCGTTCATGTAAGATAATTTTAACTGTAGCCGTTAAGCAATTGTGACGTCATAAATGAACATGTTTCATTGAATAAATTTTGAAATTTTAGGGGAATTTTGATCATTATTTCAAAAGTTATCCCAATTTCAACGAGCCCTGTAAGCGTAAAGTGTTACGTCTTACAGCGTATTTGACGATGTCGGGATATATTTAACTTTAAGAATATGTTTGATCCCATCAAAATTTTGACGGAAAAATAATATCACTGAAATGCGAATAAAAAATACTTCAAAATGATATATAAAACACATAGTTAGCTTTTTAAATAAGGCAGAGCTTAACGCTCAAAGCTGACATCAGCCCGTATTTCTCGAATTGTCCCCAGGTCCGTGCACGTCATAAGTAAGAATTCATTCGTAAGAAAAATATTAAATAATTCGTAACAAACAGTTAAAAATAAATGAATACTTAGGATTTTGCAAGGACTTCCGATTATTAATTGTTTATTAACACCGTTGATATGCAGTTCGTTTTGAAGTGACATCACCCCCATATTCGTAATTTTCGACGTCTCTCTGAGTAACGGATGTCACATGTCGATGTGATGTTTTAATCGATGAAATTGAATTTCTTACATATTTCATAGCCCATGATATTTCTTTATCTTGTTGTTAGATAACAATTTATGATATTGGTTAATTCGCCAGAAATTAACATAATATTATTTGAAGCGTTTTAAGAAAATGTTGACACCGCCATCCTGAAAACGTGTAGTAATCTTGAACCCAGTGATTATCGATCTTGACATTTTAGAATTTGTTGTTACTCGAAGATTTTACCAAATACTACATTGATTACCAATCTTGATAGTAAGATCATTTGTAAACGCAGCTGGTAAACGTTATGATTTATGTTGTATCACAGTTTTGGCGTTGTTAATTAAGTATTACAGATCGAACTAATTTCAGAAGCTTTCTCAGATCGTGCCCCGGGAATTTTAGAACTATTTTAACATCGTCAGAGAGAAAGTGGAGGTATGCAACGAACGAAATGAATTTTGAGAATGCAACCAGAGAAGTAATCGCCTAAAGATATGCATATGACCACGTTGCAATATTTCATGGAAAAATATATTCATTATCAAACAATCTGTAGCAAATCTCTCGACTTTCAAGAAAGGTGGCGATTGACAACAACTCTATTTCCAAAAATTAAAAGATGCCGGACGGCAGGTAGTGAAGGTATGCAACGAACGAAATGAATTTTGAGAATGCAACCAGAGAAGTTGCAATATTTCATGGAAAAATATATTCATTATAGTCAAACAATCTGTAGCAAATCTCTCGACTTTCAAGAAAGAAGGCGATTGACAACAAATCTATTTCCAAAAATCAAAAGATGCCGGACGGCGTTTTCGACCACCTCTTACATCTGTGAGTTTCATCATAGACAAGGTTCTGTAGAATCTTTTGAATGTGACAAGTATATTGGTTCAGAAACGTAGAATACACATTTACGTAACAAAAATCTGGATTGCATTTCATCAAAACTGCTTTGATTTGCAAAATGAATGTGGAATTCCATACACAGTCTTTGGTAGAAACAATTCATAAATAGATGTCAGCAGTGTAGATTTAGCAAGCTATACAAATGAATAAACAGATGTGTATAATGTAATATAACATCCTAAAACTGAACTCATACGTTTGGAATGAGCTATATGAAAATGTGTCCGTCTTACCTCTAGTTCCCTAAACATCCAGACTCTGGAGTATGTTATAATTATAACACCTAGTATTTCGAAAGAATGTTCAAAAGATTTGTATTTCAGAGCTTGACCTAGTATTTTGATAGAAAGGATGTTCAAAAAATTTGTATTTCAGAGGTTGACCTAGTATTTTGAAATAATGCTCATAAGATTTGTATTTCAAAGCTTGCCCTAATGTGTATGTATGTATATCTTTATTGCCCTTTATGAAAAGGAGATACATGTATACAGTGTACAATGAAAATAATGCTGATATAACATTAATGTTAAATGAACATAGAATAAAAATATATACAATATATAAAACACACTTTATACGTTAGATGAGTGCTAACCATCTTCTCCAAGGTCGATGTAAGCATCTCATCTAATGAACCACAGACGATATAAGATGCTACCGCTACCTAATCGTCCAATTACAACCCTCAATGAGATCATTTATGCAGAGATCATAATTGAAAAAGTAAAAAAAAAAGGTTAGGTTAAGAAAGGTTAAGTATGTACATACAATTTTATACATTATATAATACACTTATCTCATTAGTTGAGTGCAAACCATCTTCCCCAAGGTCGATGTAAGCATCTCATCCAATGAACCACAGACGATATAAGATGCTACCGCTACCTCATCGTCCAATTACAACCCTTAATAATGAGATCATTTTGTGCAGAGATCATAATAGAAAAAGTAAAAAAGGTTAAGTATTTACATACGTTTTATACATTATATAATACACTTATCTCATTAGTTGAGTGCAAACCATCTTCCCCAAGGTCGATGTAAGCATCTCATCCAATGAACCACAGACGATATAAGATGCTACCGCTACCTCATCGTCCAATTACAACCCTTAATGAGATCATTTTGTGCAGAGATCATAATTGAAAAAGTAAAAAAGGTTAAGTATGTACATACGTTTTATACATTATATAATACACTTATCTCATTAGTTGAGTGCAATTCATCTTCCCCAAGGTCGATGTAAGCATCTCATCCAATGAACCACAGACGATATAAGATGCTACCGCTACCTCATCGTCCAATTACAACCATTTGAGAGATCATTTGTTCAGAGATCACAATTGACAGTAGATATAGATTAAGTATGTACATATGGTTTATACCTTATGTATATAAAATATATAGATAGATATAAAATACTTGACGCATTAATCAACAGATTTTAACCCATGGTTTGCATTAAAACGCATCCGAAATCATATAAGTCAGTTATGAGTTGCATTGCAAGCACGATGCACGGAGGTGGTATTGCTCTTGCACGATAAGTGAAACCCCTCTCAAAAAATCTAAAGACCGGGGATCATTTCTAACGTTAATCCCTAAAATGTTGTTAATATTCATCTCTATACCAAACTTTTGGCAGTGCTCATTTAGTTTACGTCTAAACGGGGTATAGCTATTTGCTGTGCACGTTAACATAAAATGGATGACATTTTCCTGTTGAAACGTATTACACATATAACATAATTTTGACTTGTTTTCTCCGCCTCGATATTTTGTTCCTAGAGTATGTTCGTTTGTCAGAAGTTTAACCATAATTTTGCAACCACCGAGGGCAACAGGGAACTTTCTGGCAACACACCACCATATATTTGGACTCAAAGACCTAAAATCATTCAACCTAAATAGTTCAAGACCAGTATACATAATTGATCTAACAAACGTCCTCTGTATTTGTGCTGTCGAAAGTTCTGTAAAAACAATTTTCTTCCACCTTTGTTTGGTGATTCGAGTTTTACAGTATAGCATATCGAGAATGTATTTATCCAAGTTGTATTTTATAGCACATATGAGCATGTTACGGATAGGAGAAAACACATCAAAATTTGTTTTCATATACGTCAATTTTATCAACCGTATCGTGAATATGTGTTTGTAAATATTTGAGCAACGGAGTTGTAAAATACTAAAGAAAAACATCATTCGGAGGAAATCTATGTAAAAGTCTATATCAAGTAATCCAAGAGGAAATGTTGAGACTGGATTGCTAGCAGATTGGGAAAGGGATTGAATCCTCCGTCCAATGCCTCTCTGTACTATGTTTAATTGTTCAATATCTTTTTGATGATAATTGATTACCGGAGCACCGTATGTCATACAGGGTATGGAATAAGTTTTGTATATCTGACATGCTGAAGTGGGAACAAGGCCTCCGCATTTACTTCCAATTCCCAGAAGGGCATTAAACTGAGATTTTCCTTTTTTGCATTTATCATTTACATAATTACTGATGTCATTATCTACAGACAGTGGTATACCAACGTGTTTAGCATTATTAGATTTTTCGATCGGTACACCTCCAATGTTTAGCTTTTGAGTGGCTCCCAA